ATAATATCCTGCACACTGTAACTTTATTACTTTCAAACAAGTGTCTTTTTCAACCAAATTATATTAACATGCTTATTTCAAGTCAACGTCAACAGACCACCATCTGCTGCTCAGCATGGTGTTTATACCGCCAGCTGCAGAGGACCTCCAACACAGGCAATCACTGCAATGAAACCACGACCATTCAGTGCGAAGGCTAGAATAACAACAGAAAGGGTTGCCGAGAAGACAACCACAGCACCTAAAACAAGACCCCCCTGGAGGCCATTCTCTGGTCATGCTGCACTTGGCAGACCAACTCCACTGATCAACAAGAATCCTGACAATGCCAATGTTATGACAAAGGAAGAACTTCATTATGACTTACCTTCACTTTCAAAAGTCTATCAAGACAGGTAAATGTCCATGTAAGGTTACAGAGAGGGAAATAGATTCTGCATGCAACTTGCAGGTGTAATCTGTGAGGTATTTTAAACTAGAATAATTTCCCCAGTGTGTATTCAAGGTGCCAGCATTTAAAGGGGAATCGTTGCTGACAGCATTGTTTAGTACATATTGCCTCATTGGGCAGCATACAAATTTCCATAGAGAAGGCATGATTTAAATTGAAGGCGACCTACTGATTAAAAACCTAAATTATATAGCAATGTGACCTTAGAAAATGCACCTAATTTCTGGGTGGCAAAAGGGACTCGATCAGTGCATAATTATGTTCTTTACAACATTTTTTTTTTTATGCTGTCACTCAATATTCAAAGTTGACTTTTTATATCTGGATCAGAGACTGACAATTATACTAAAAGGTAAAAATCATAAACAAGATTCTCCTATTGAAGAAAAAGCAATGATTTTTATCAGTCAGTGGGTTAGTTCATCATTTACTATAATGTCCTATATTATCATACAGTACATTGCTGGAAAAACTTGCACACATGCAAATTATGTCATCTAATAAACTTGCAATTGCACTTTGTTCCTTTCAAAACAGTTCATTTGTTATATCATTAATGGTTAATGATATTAGCAAGGCTAACAGGACCCAGCTACAAATTTGTGCTATTTCCTGATTGTCTCTCAGTTTTCAGAACAGATATCAAAGTGCAAGGGAAACCACTCCTTGTAACCTTGAGGGGTTGAGTCAGGCTAGGATTTTGAGATACTGATGGTGGCTTACATGTATAATTACAGGTGTCTACCCAGAGGTCTTGTAACTTTACAGGAGTGGCTGACAGAAGATGTTCCTAGTGACTGGTGGGTACAAGATGGTGTTTCCTGTTCATTTTTGTCATTAATGATGCCATGACACTTGACTAGACTAGTACGGTGGAGAATGCACAATTTGGGGATCCTGATTTTACATACCTTTTACTTTGACTCCTGTGTTTGTTTCTCTTGCAAATTTCATCATTTACAGCTACTGTATTAGTACAGCTGGTTAAATATTTAATTACTAGGATCCTGGGGTTTGGGAGGGAGGAAAGCTCAGGCTTATAGTACATGTAATGTGAATAAAGTAATTTTTCTTACATGTTCTGACTTAGGGCACTAAATCAAGTGTGTTTTACAGGCCTGCTCAGCTTACAGCAAAGCACAGTTTTGTATTCCTTGAACATGTTCAGATGGACAATCTGCAAGCTGTTCCACCTGTTCAGCAGCCTGATGATTTATTGATCTATACTCCAGTACCGCAAATTAAGGTACATTATATATTAATAAGTTGACTTATTCTTAAAGTTTGATTAGTTCTTACTTATGATCTATTAGAGGACAGAAAATTCTAGATTTGTTTCTTTATTATATAAAATACAGTGGAACCTGTATATAATGGCCCTGTATTAAGCGGTCACCCTCTATTAAGTAGCCAGTTTTCAAGGTCCGGATTTTTCGTTCACACAAAGGCTGTAGTTTTTCCTGTAGTAGGCAGCCACCTCTATTAAGCAGCCACGGCCACCCTGTAGCAGTCCTCTGTTTGTCTTTCTTTGTTATTGTTACCTGCATTAAGCGGCCACCCTTGAATGGAAACTAAGCCACATGTCATTTTATGGGGTAGTTTCCCTTATTCCCTCTAATAGACAACAAATAAAACACAACTTGTTACTTGTTAAATAGGGGAACTGACTGCTGCACTGGAAAACGGACTGCAGCACTTAGCCCAGCATTCTGCAAGCAATGAAACCCCATTTGAGTTTATTAAAACCGAAAGATACATATGTGAAGTTAGACTAACAGAAGTACAGATAATGATAACGTGCCTACTGTCCATCAGGAAAAACCCCCTTATTAGAGGAAACCTGAACCCTCCTGAATGCAGAGCCAGGCACTTAACAAATACCCTAAGGGTGAGGGGCGACAAAGCCAACAAATGTAGGGTAACAAAGCAAATCAAAACAACATTAATAAAAAATCTCGAAACGAAAGCAAGTTGGCAGCGACATCAGCATAGAATGGCTCAAATCAGCAAAATCCCGCCCTTATAGTACTTCCGTTGCCATGGAAACTGTCAAAAAACCAGTGAACCGTAAAAACAATGATTTGCTGCTATTCTTCAAATCGCAGCAAATAACAGTTTCATTGTGTTTAAAATGTGATCCATCATCATTACAAAGAAAAACATGTACAAAGCTACTGTAAGCTGAAAACTGGCCGTTTAGTATCGCTTTCCAGATGTTCATAATGCTGAAGTACAGTACCATATCATTACACCATGCCCAGTGAGTAATTTCAGAGTGATCCTGTATTAAGTGGCCATCTGTATTAAGCAGCCAGTTGCTTAAGTCCCGAGGGTGGCCATTGATTCCTTGTTGTCATGCATCTGTTCAGTAATAGATCACAGAAGACATAAAAGTGTGGTAGGAACGGTACTGACACACTCACCTACTGGCTTGTGTGCCACTTTATTGGTCTTACCACATTTTGATGTCATCTGTGATCTATTAAACAATTAGATTATTCGCTCTCGATTTCCTCATCAACTATCATGCATAGAAATCAACAGCAAATAATCTTAATTGTTTTACTACAAATCTACTAGTCATTCAAAACTTTAACTAAATCCTCTTCACAGACACTTCCAAAATGCCAAGAAGCAGGCAGCTGTCATTTTGTTAACAAGGGCACACTGCTACGCTACTCACTATCTGTCACAGAATAGATAGTGAGTAGTGTAGCCAATCAGAGAATGGCATTCGAGATAGAATGCCTAGTAGATTTATACTAACACTGAATAGAAAGATGCACAGCAACATGGAATCTATTTGTTAACTGTGTTATTAGCTGGTATTTCCTAATAATAATATCATTATTAGCTAATGAAAATAAGAAAAAATTATGATATTTTGCGGTGGGTTAATGTTGCTGATGGGTGATATAGTGGCTAAATGCTCAGACTCCATAATTAATTATACATGTCTGATGCCCTTCTCTTCCTTTTCCTTCATGTATTTCCACCCTTGTTTTAGATCTTGTTTGGGAGCAGCATTTTGTCTAACTATATTGTAGCTCATGAAAATGTGGATTATTTTTATATTTAAACATATCTTTTGGGTAGGCTTGGCAGCTTGACAAGTACCTTATTTTCAATTCTGGTACAGCATGTCTAAGTGGTTAGGGTGCCAGACTTGAACTCCAGAGATTTGGGTGCAGGAATGCATTCTACTTGATTTAAAGTACATTAGTACATCTATTGGGCTGTTGTCACATTACTGTTTCGATGCCTTTTCTGCCCAGTTGTTTACTGGGCACCCTTCACTTATAGCCCAGGGTCAATTGTTACTCCAGTCAACATACTGGACAACAGGCAACATACTCGATCTATAGTTCTTAGGTTCAATGTACATGATACCACAGTATATTTAATGCAGCTTCTATTGTTTTTATTGACAGAAATTTAAGCCTCCAAAACCAAGATTCCAACCATTCCCTCAGGTATGGTACAGATGCATGCATTTGAAATAAAATCAAAATGTATTGAGAGGACATTTCAAGGAATGCTTTAATGTTAGCTTAATACAGGGTGTCTATCTAATACAGTTCCCACAGAGCATGTTCTATTATGTGTCAATAGGTATGCCAATGTATGTTAGATACTTTTCAGGTTATTCTTGGAGCTACAGGTACATTGCTGTGTTTGCAGCTTTTTATTTATTAAACTGGGCTGGAAATTGTTTGAAGTCAGCCACACAGATTGATAATGCAAGGTTCATGTAATCCAACTAGAAGAAAAATATGTGAACCAAAACAAGCCACTCAGACATGAAACAGGTCAAGAAATACGTTAGTTAGGGGACCCTCTACCAACTGTGGTAAAAAATGTAAGAGAATTATCTCATAAACTGATAATCAAAACTCAAAATTATTCTATCTAAAGAATCTGTCTATTTGTAATGCTTGTAATTAGTTTCTGGTGCTTCATTATCAGACCAAGTCGATTACTGCAAAAGGTCTGCCTTTATGTGATGGCAGTAATTTATGAGCTATGTATCATGATCAGCCGATTGTAAAACCTTGTCAGATTTTTATTGGTACCTAGCCTAGCCTGCAGAACAGGGGGATTTGTGAGGCAGAGCGTGATACATGAGTGCAGATACATGAGTGTGGAGTAATCTGGGCTTGTGCATCATGCATGTATAGTGCTGTACCCTTCTAATTTTTCTGTTCTGCAGTCGAATTGTTATTAAGCATGTTGTGTGGTATAATCTAAGTATATGTTCACGTGTCTAAGTCACATTTTAGGTGTCTGTGTATGCTTAATATTGAGGTATAGTTTACAGCAACTAGAAACTAAGGAAAATAAGTTTGGGAGCTTGGCGACGGTCTGGTCAATACCATGCAGGTTTGACTGTAAAACACTAAAATGCACATCACATCTTCTTGGCCTGCCACCGTCATTTTGTACATAAACTTCTATATGTACTTTACTTTTGTCAAATGGCATCCATGACACTCAAGGTTAGGTTTGAAGAAGTGCACTGGAGTTGATAATTGATTGTCTAAGGGAGGACCAGAATTATTTTAAACAAGCACACATCTATAAATACTCCTTTCCCTATGCTTTTTACATGTATTATGTATTCTTTAGGTTTCTTCAATTGCAATCTAAATGCAGTAAGTAAGAAACCCTTTTTTTCTTGCTAGGTTTTTCAATCATTTGATTTATTGATTTTTGTTTTTTAGGATGAGGAGTTGAGATGCAAGCACAGGTACATTGTTATTAAGAACATAAGTTATGAATTATCAAGAAAAATGAATTGATTTAGATATTAATTTTATTTAGTCTGATGCAAACATGACAGAAAGTTTGAGGGTAAACTCAGGCTGCAGGCCACTACAAGGTCTTCTCAGGGTGCTCTCTTTTTACCCTTGTGAAAGGAGGGCTGAAAAGAGAGGGTCCTGGCTACAAGACTGCGTGCAAGCAAACATTTATGACAGTTTTAATAGTACAAACATAAACATAAGTAAACATACCCAGACGCAGTGAGATGTTGATAATTAGTACTTTTTGTAGGGAAATTGTCCTAACAAAGGGCGCTACTTACCAGCACCTTTGTGCACCTGCGTTTGTTGCTTATTTATGCTTATGTGCTAGTGAAAACTAACCTTAACATAAGGGTCGGTGTCTCTCCAATCCTGCGCTTAATTTTCATGCTGGTTCTTTTTCGTTTCTGGGAACGCATTTCACCCAAACAAGTCATGGTGAATTACGATTTTTTTTGTCATATTGCTTCCTGTAACTGATAGTTTTAATTCTTTTTTGTGTAAATCCCTTTTACATGTTATCAGTCGACGTCATAGTTATCTTGATACACCATGGGATAAGCTGTACTGATCTTAATTTTATTTCAGAAGTGAGCCTGTGGATGCAAAGTCAATCCAGCCCTCTTCACATGAGTAAGTACATGTATTAACATAAAGAGACTGTATAATAGGGTTGTAATGTTCGACAAAGGAGAACGCTTGCTAATCTTATGGGTGTCCTGCGCAGTTTTTCGTTGTCGCCTTCGTCCATGACGTCACATTTTGCTTACGCGATCATGCGGACGACCTCGTCGTAGAGACAGGTAAACAAAATGGAGGGCTTTCTTTAAAAAAGGAAAGTCAGAAGGTTTTGGCGTCTCGAGAATTGAAAGAACGTTGATTTCACATCAGGATTGGTGCCAGATTTTTTGCTTTTTACTTGAAGGGTAGAAAAATGTGGCCCTGGAATAAGTTCGGAAAACAACAGTCAGCTAATTTGAATTGCGGATAGAATTCACGTGATCGTTGATAACGATGTTAAACATTACCCTGGAACGCGCCAGCGAAAATACTCAATAAAGTGCAATACTCAATAAAGTCAGCAGCGAGCAACTTAAGGGTACATGTCCTAAAGTGGACGATCAACTCAAGTCAGCCATTACATGTTGAGCAATACTCGTATTATGTGATCGTCATCGATATGCGCCCTTGTAGATTCGCGTATTCTCTTCGGAACGCACTAGCAAAATTTGGCAGAAAGTGACCTTGTGTTTGTCGGCATTATCCATGTGCTTAGTTTGACAAACCACTGATCAACTCAGCCATTGCACTAAACAATCCAGAAGAAACTGATTCTGTAGTGCTTCTTGTTATATGAAGTCAAATCTAACTGAAACTAGTTCGTGTGTTCAGCAGACTAACTTTATTACGAACGCGCTTAATTTCTCTGTGATTACTGCTTGTTTTTATTGCTTATCTTTTGTTGATGTGGTAAATAAAAAAGAGTACTGAGAATTTAGGATTTAATTGAGTCAGTCCATTACTGAGCGCAACTTACCACATCTTAAATGAACATCGTGTTGTAAAGTTATGTGTACCCTGTACTTAGCTATTCTTAGTTTTGGAAAAACAAAACCAACACGATGAACCATTCTCATACCGCCATATTGTCAATTGAAATGTTTCAGTGCTTTTGAGGGAATGCGGACGGCAGATATTATTCGACAAGAGATTGAAGATCTTGAAAGACTCTTGCAAGGTAACACGGCCAGAAAAAAAAAACCCTCAAGTGAAGTAACCCGGTTAATTGACTGGGACCAAACACTCACATCCTATCTTTCTGGTAAATGTATGTAAAGCGCCATGATAATTGGTTCTTACTATCA